GTCCTGGAGAGAATCAGACTCTGAAGCCCAACAAGTCTGGGTCCAGAACCCAATTCTGCATTTATTATCTATGTGACCTTGGGTAGGTCCCCCTCAGCCTTCTCTCAGCTGCTCAGTTTCCCCATCTGTTAAAGGGGGATAACAAAAGTATCTGCCATTTAAGATTGTTGTGAAAATTAACTGCGTGAAAGGCACCTGGCCTTGGATTGGGACAGGAGAGGCTCCTGAAGGACAGCAGCTGAGGGGCAGATTCTGCAGCTCCTCCTCCGGTCATTCAGGCTTCACCAACAAGATTAGCTCCAGACCTTCACCCTGAAGCTCAAGCCAACCCATCATTGGAACCAATCCTGCCTGGGCTGGAGGCTCACCCTTGAGCCATGAAACCATACCATCCCTGGCCTGAGGGGGTGGGACCAGCCATGCTGCTCCTTTCACACCTGGCACCAAGGGTTGGGACCCAGCCATCTGGGTTATCACAGGCAGTCTGGGCACTGATCCCACCTCCCTAGAACCCAGCTCAGGGCTTTGCATGTGGGATCACAACTGGGGGCCTGGTCACCCTCCAGGACCTGCCTTGTCCCCCAAGGCTCCAGAAGACTCAGATCTCACTCCTTAGGGCTTCCAAAAGCCTATAGTTATGACTCAGTCAAAATACTTTACTTCCAATTGGCTGAGCACCAATTACTCTGTGTCACTTACTACCCACATACTCACATGGATTATCTCATTCCATTCTCATTAGAGCCAGCCCTAGACATGAGTGTGGTTATCTCCCACTGCAGATGAGGAAACAGCGGCTCAGAGACACGAAGACACTGCCCAGGTAACAGTGAGGAGCAGCTGGGCGGTAAGGACCACATCTGGATCAAGACTGCTCAGAGGCCTTTGCAGTGTGCTTGACCAAACGCTGTCAAGTTCAGAGCCCAGCCTGGCCGGGTCCTCCAGATCCCACCGCCCCCACCTCTAGAGTGGGGAGGGGCTACATGTTATAGGAACCTGGCCCTGTCCCTGATGAGAACTCCCCAACCCCTGCCCAGAAGCCTGCCCCTTAAGTACCTGGCAGGTCAATGGCCACAGCCTGGTAGCCAGCCTGGGCCAGCCTGTGCAGTGTACCCAGGTTCTGCCAGGTCTCGGAGGAGAAGCGAATACCATGCAGTAGCAGTACAGAGAAGTGAGCTTGCCCACTGCTGGGCCGGGCCTCTCGGAAGAAGAGGGCCTGGCCCTGCACCTGGATGGTGCCCTCGCGCTGCTCCACACTTGCCGCCATGCCTGCCGCTGCTGTGCTGATGAAGGGCCTGTGGTCAAAAGCCACAATGATGAGGGGCCACAGAACACCCTGCTCAGGGTGGTGGTCCCACAGGAGCAGCAAGGAAGCCTCCAGTTGGCTTCCAGAACTTTAGGAACATGCTTTGGGGTCAGGAGAACATAGGTGTTATTTCTGCCTCTGCCATTCACTTTAGTGTGTAACCTTGGGCCTCAGCTTCTTGATCTGAAATATGGGAACAATAAAGCCAACCTCAATAATTAAGAATTAAAAGTTTAGCCGGGCGCGGTGGCTCAAGCCTGTAATCCCAGCACTTTGGGAGGCCGAGATGGGTGGATCACGAGGTCAGGAGATCGAGACCATCCTGGCTAACACGGTGAAACCCCATCTCTACTAAAAATACAAAAAAATTAGCCGGGCGTGGTGGCAGGCGCCTGTAGTCCCAGCTACTCGGGAGGCTGAGGCAGGAGAATGGCGTGAACCCAGGAGGCGGAGCTTGCAGTGAGCCGAGATAGTGCCACTGCACTCCAGCCTGGGCGACAGAGCAAGACTCCGCCCCCAAAAAAAAAAAAAAAAAAAGAATTAAAAGTTTAAGAAAAATTATCGGCCAGGCACAGTGAGTGGCTCACGCCTGTAATCCCAGCACTTTGGGAGGCCAAGGCGGGTGGATCACCTGAGGTCAGGAGTTTGGGAGCACCCTGGCCAACATGGTGGAACCCCGTCCCTACTAAAAAAATAAATAAATAAAAAATTAGCCAGGTGCGGTGGCGCGTGCCTGTGGTCCCAGCTACTCAGGAGGCCGAGGCAGGAGAATCGCTTGAACCCAGGAGGCAGAGGTTGCAGTGAGCCAAGATCGCACCACTCTGCTCCAGCCTGGGCGACAGAGAGAGACTCGGTCTCAAAACAAAAAGAGCCAGCTGATGGTCACATGTCACTGCCATTAGGCCAGTGCGGTGGCACACGCCTGTAATCCCAGCACTTCGGGAGGCCAAGGTGGGCAGATCATCTGAGGTCGGGAGTTTGAGACCAGCCTGACGAATATGGAGAAAGAAACCCCATCTCTACTAAAAATACAAAATTAGCCAGCTGTGGTGGTGCACACCTGTACTCCCAGCTACTAGGGAGGCTGAGGCAGTAGAATTGCTTGAACCCAGGAGGTGGAGGTGCAGTGAGCTGAGAACATGCCATTGCACTCCAGACTGGGCAACAACAGCGAAACTCCATCTCAAGAAAAAAAAAACCAACAGAAAAAAAAAAACAGAAAAATTATCAGTGGGGGTGCCTACTGTAAAAACGCAGCATGTGGTGGGGCTCCATTACGATTGCTGTTCTTATTCTCATCGTTATTATCCTTTTCTATAAATGGGGATAATTCAGTAGTACTAGCTCATAGGTAGTTGATAGGATTAAATAAAGCCATGCATGTACTATGCCTAGCATGTAGTAAGGACTCAGTGCTCAATTAAGTTACAGGTCATGAGTTGGCAATGCAGGCCAGAGGGAGCCCAAACTGGGGTAAAAAGCCCATTTTATTTTATTTATTTATTTATTTTTATTTTTTTGCGATGGAGTTTCACTCTTGTTGCCCAGGCTGGAGTGCAGTGGCATGATCTCAGCTCACTGCAACCTCCACCTCCCGGATTCAAGCAATTCTCCTGCCTCAGCCTCCCGAGTAGCTGGGTTTACAGGTGCGCATCGCCATACCCGGCCTTTTTTTTTTTGTTTTTTTTTGTTTGTTTGTTTGTTTTTTTTGAGACGGAGTCTGGCTCTGTCTCCCAGGCTGGAGTGCAGGGGCCGGATCTCAGCTCACTGCAAGCTCCGCCTCCCGGGTTCACGCCATTCTCCGGCCTCAGCCTCCCGAGTAGCTGGGACTACAGGCACCCGCCACCGCGCCCAGCTAATTTTTTGTATTTCTTAGTAGAGACGGGGTTTCACCATGTTAGCCAGGATGATCTCGATCTCCTGACCTCGTGATCCACCCGTCTCGGCCTCCCAAAGTGCTGGGATTACAGGCTTGAGCCACCGCACCCGGCCTTTTTTTTTTTTTTTTAAGACGGAGTATCGCTCTGTCGCCCAGGCTGGAGTGCCCTTGGCGCATCTCCGCTCACTGCAAGCCACGCCTCCTGGGTTCACGCCATTCTCCGGCCTCAGCCTCCAGCCTGGCTGGGACTACAGGCGCCTGCCACCACGCCCAGCTCCTTCCAGCTACTTCTTTGTATTTTTTTAGTAGAGACGGGGTTTCACCGTGTTAGCCAGGATGGTCTCGATCTCATGACCTCGTGATCCGCCTGCCTCGGCCTCCCAAAGTGCTGGGATTACAGGCGTGAGCCACCGCACCCGGCCTAATTTTTGTATTTTTTGGTAGAAACGGGGTTTCGTCATGTTGGCCGGGCTGGTCTGGAACTCGTGACCTCAAGTGATCCGCCCATCTTGGCCTCCCAAAGTGCTGGGATTACAGGCGTGAGCCACCGCGCTGGGACTAAAAGCCCATTTTCTTCTTCTTCTTCTTCTTTTTTTTTTTTTTTTTTTTTAAGAGAAGTTGTCCCGCTCTGTCGCCCACGTTGGAGCGCAGTGGCGCAATCATGGCTCACTGCAGCCTTGACCTTCCTGGGCTCAAGTGATTCTCCCGGCATTCACCCCCAGTAGTTGGAACCACAGGCGCGCACCTCCACACCAGAAAGCCCATTTTCTAGAGGCGGAAATCGAAGCGCCCAGTGGGAAAGGCGACCCGCCGGGGAGGCGGGGTGCTCAACGCGCTGCCACCTGGGGCCCAACGCGTTGACCTCGCGGTCAGGTTGCTTCCGCGGACCACGGTTCTGGCTCGCTAGGTGTGGCACCGGGAGGGAATGGTGGCAACCCCCAAGGAGGGGACCCAGGGATCCGAAAAACGAAGACTTGGGGTAGGTGGGGTTGGGTTTTGACTGGAGAGAAAAAAGGGTCACAAGCGCAGGGCGGGTACCTGGGGAGCTGTGTGGACTCGCGCAGACGGGAAGCAGACGCGTTCTGGCGGTGAATTGGACACGGCGGAGGAATGGTGGGGGAAGAGGCCGGTCCCCATCCAGCGGGGGCGGGGACTGGGCCGTGCTCCGGGGCGCCCTCTTGTGGCCACAAGCTCGCAGGGTCCATAGGCTCCGCTCAACTCGTTCTTCTCAAAGCTGCGTCAGTTTCCCCAAGCCACTTGGTCCCACATGCCCCAAACGCGGTGCTGAGCACGGTTTCGAACTCCTCAGCGACCTGCCCCACATGGACATGGAGCAGTCTGAGGAGGAAAGTTCCTTCGGGATCGCATCCTTGCTGCTCTCTTCCGGCTCCCCATCCCCCTTATCCCCAGCCAGAACTGCCCAGGGCAAGTTGTTGGCCTGGCACAGAGTTGAGGCCGGACAGGTTTGAGTGCGAGGCTCCGCCAGTGTCCAGCCAAGTGGCCTTGATCGTTTTCCCAATGCCTCCGAACCTGTTTCCTTCCTGTAGAGCGGGTCATACGTTGCCAACCTCTGCAGAGTAGCAACAAAGAGTAAACGCCACGCTCTGCACAGCCTCCCAGTGCTGGGCCTGGTTGCCACGCGGAGCCTTGGGCCTGGGACAGGCCAGACGTTGGTAACACATCACCAACCAGGGCAGGCGCCATGAGTAGATGTGAAGGAGCCCAGGGCCGGTCCAGGCTCTGATCGTGGGTGTGCGTCGGGGAGGGGTTGGGGTGGAGTGGGTAGGAGTCAGCAAAGTGGCTGGGCCAAGACCTGGAGCTGCTGCATAACAATATCTGACATTTACACAACGAGGCCTCTGCTTGGGACACTGTTCTGAGGCTTGACCCGTCCTTAAGAACCTAGAACAACCCTGTGCTGTGGGTTTTATCCTTAACTCCATTATACAGGCCAGAGAACAGAGCCAGAGTGGAGATGTTCCACTGGGAAGAAGCCACATGGCTCTCCGCCTCCTTCAAGCCAAAAACAATTCCGAAAATCTGGGCGGGGGGGGCCAGAGAGCATTTGGGCTCTGCCCCCAGCACCTCCTTCGCGCAGACGACTCGGTAACTGGGCTGCAGGCCGGCAGCTGCGGAGTGCGCAGGCGCGCCTAGGTGGCCGCGGTCCTGGCCTTCTAGAGCCGGAGCGGCCCGCGGAGCTGCGGAGGCAGCCGTGGTCGGGGCGCTGTGCAGCTGCTGGTTCCGCCTGGGCGGGGCCCACCTGCTCATCCCGTTCGGCCCGGTGAGTCTTCCCGGGTACGGAAGCCGGCCGGTGGCCCGGGGGCGGGCCATCTTTACCCCGCCCCTTGCTCCGGGGCAGAGTCCCGCGGAAGAAGCAGATGCTGGGGCAGCGAGTGTGCGTGTGCGCGCGTGTTGTGTGTGTGCGCGTGTTGTGTGTGCGCGCAGGGTCTGCGTGTGTTCTTGGGGGTCTGGGTGTATGTGTACGCTCGTGTGTCTGCGTGGTGTCCGTCAGTGTGTTTCTGCGCGCTTATATTGGTGGGGGGAGTGTGTTCGTTGATGTCTGCCTGCTTGCGTCGGCATATGTCTTCCCAGTGTATTTCTGTGTGCGTGTGATTTTAAGGGTATGTGTCTACCTGTCTGCGTGTGTGCATTTCTGAGGGTTTGTGTGTGTGTCTGCTTTCCTATGCATGTGCCTTTCTTGTGTGAGTGTGTAGTTTTACGGTTGTGTGTATGACCATGCTTGAGTATTTCTGAGGATCAGCCTGTGGTTTTGAAAGCGTGCACCTCCATCAGTCTCTCTGGCTTCCTGATGCCTGACTGCGTGCGTGATTTAGAGGATACCATTACTAAATGGAAGGGATTGATCGCACACGGGCCAGTGTGTGTGCAAGGAGGCTGCATGTACATGCAGGGAATAGCTTGTGCAAAAGAAAAGCGTGTGGGGGCAAGATTCGTATTTGTGCTTGTGTGCACCTGTGTATTACTGTCAACGCATATTCCAATGACCTAACGCGGGCACAGTTTACCCTGCCCCTCGCATATCCCCCCAGGCGGCCGGCTGCAGGTCTGCTACAATTGCCTAGTACTGTGTAGCACCCTGGGTTGCCAAGGCAACAGCCTAAGCCCCGCCCTTCCCTACTTGGAGAGGCGCGGGGTCGCCCCGAATGGACTACAAGGAAAGGTCCCTCGCGCCGGGTGGGAACCTGGGCTAACGCCCTGTTAGAGACGTGCATCTGAGGTTGTTCGTGGTCTCGAAGAAAAGAGGAATGCGGTCTTCCTCCACTAGGTCCTGGTTTTCCAGAAACAGCAGAAAGGCTGCTGCTGTGGCCCACAAACCCCCGAAGCCTGGGGATGCAGGCTCAGGAAACATCCCTGAAACATCCCAGAGGGATGAATAGGACCCAAGACGGGACCCCGGCTCCTAGCTCGGGCAGATGCCCAATTGGCACTCAACAAAGGTGTGCTGGCCGGGCGCGGTGGCTCACGCCTGTAATCTCAGCACTCTGGGAGGCCGAGGCGGGTGGATCACGAGGTCAGGAGTTCGAGAACAGCCTGAACAACATGGTGAAACCCCGTCTCTACTAAAAAATAGAAAACTTAGCCGGGCGCGGTGGCGAGCGCCTGTAATCCCAGCTATTTGGGAGGCTGAGGCAGGAGAATCGCTTGAACCCGGGAGACGGAGGTTGCAGTGAGCCGAGATTGTGCCACTGCACTCTAGCCTGGGCGACAGAGCAAGACTCTGTCTCAGAAACATAAAAATAAATAAATAAAGATGTGTTTGCTGGACTCCGGGTATGAAGCAGGCGTGCTCATCCTAGGCCCAAGAAATGGCAGGAACAGCCCTGATCCGGTCCATGGTATTATCTAAATCTCACAGGAAGCTTAGGAGGGCAGCCACGAGGTTATCCCATTTTACTGACAAACTGAAGACACAAACAAGGCCAGGAAGTGGCAGTCTCAAAGGCCTGCCCAATTTGAGTCCTGGGTCCTAAGGGCTGTCCTCTGGGGTGGCAGAGACCCCAGACTGGAGGAGTCCACGAAGCAGGTCATTTGGCCAGAAGCTGTCTGTGTATGGGATGGGGAGTAGCATTCATCTCTCCAACCTCTACGCTGTGTTTTTCATTTCTGGGTGTACCATGCTCCTCCCTGGCCCTGCAGCCCCTCACTCCTCAGCATTTTCCTCTATTACAGACATTCACTGTGAGCCTCTTCATAACAGCTGGGTTAGACCGTTAGTTATAATGCGATTGTAAAATGCATTCTGATTTTAGCAGTATTAAATGCAGCCAGATTAAAAGAACCATTTCCAAACATGCCCTTAAGTGGGAGGTCCCTTTGCACGCAGTCTTTCTCCTTTGGTGACCCTCACCACTTTTTCCACCTGCAAGGCTCCAGTTCATCCATCACCTCCCAGCTCCACAGGTTCCTCCTTGGCAAACCAAGTGTGGCCTGGTAGTTAGAAGCCCATTCCTAGGTTCAAACCCCAATTCCCCCACTTGATACTTGGCACTTTGGGCAAGAGAATGTACCTCTCTGAGCCTCCATTTCCTCACCTGTAAGAGAACTGTAATCACATCTGCTCCCCAGTGTTCTTGGTGGAAAAGAACGTTGTATGTAAAGTGCCACATTCAGGGCCTGCTGTCATAAGCGCTTGATGAACGGAAGTGGTTTCAGTTGATCCCATGATGGTGGCGGTCACTGAGCATGCTGTGTGCCAGAGGACACCTCAGATGCACCTCCTCACACTGAGGTATCTGAGCATTTGCCCTGGCATGTGGAGTAGTTGAGCATGAACCCCCAGAACTTTGCCCATAGCAAGGGAAAGGGCAAGGGCTAGAGCTCTTCTTCTGCTGGGGACTCTGGGTGGGTTTTTTGGATGGGATCCAGGGGTCCTTGTAGGGGCTCGGTCCCAGCCTCTTTTCCCTCTCCTCTCCTCCTCCAGACTGTGGTACAGACCTCCATGAGCCGGTCCCAGGTAGCCCTGCTGGGCCTGGGTCTGCTGCTCATTTTCCTACTGTATGTGGGGCTGCCAGGCCCCCCAGAGCAGAATTCCTGGTTCTGGGGAGACCCCAATGTCACTGTCCTGGCTGGTCTTACTCCTGGCAACTCCCCCATCTTTTACCGCGAGGTGCTCCCACTCAACCGGGCCCACAGGTAGGTGCTGCCCCAAGGGTCTAGTGGAGGGACTAGGCTCAAGGGGAGTCCCTGTGTGGGACCTCCATTATACTCAGAGTGCTCAGGGCCTGGGAGGGCAATGGGAGAAGCCTAGGAATAAAGAAAGGCGGGCTACACCAGGTCCCCAGGATACACATTCCCATGTGCCTGCAGGGTGGAGGTGGTGCTGCTTCATGGAAAGGCCTTTAACTCTCACACGTGGGAGCAGCTGGGCACACTGCAGCTACTGTCACAGAGGGGCTACCGGGCCGTGGCCCTTGACCTTCCAGGTGAGCACCCCCACCCTTTTGTCTAGGGAAGCCCTAAGGTGTGGCTGGGGGGCAACTGGGCCCTAGTGTATGGACAAGCAGTGTCAGGTCACAACGTGAGGAGGCACCATGAAAAAGTCTGTGTTTTCATTTTCTACCACGAAAACTAGTGAATTCTAGGTCACGAAGCAAATAAAAACTCTTCACAAGCAGTGTACTTTCTTTTTTAATTTTATTTATATATATTTTTTGAGACCGAGTCTCGCTTTTTCACCCAGGCTAGAGTACAATGGCGCAATCTCAGCTCACTGCAACCTCCGCCTCCTGGGTTCAAGCGATTCTCCTGCCTTAGCTTCCGAAGTAGCTGGGATTACAGGTGCCTGCCACCACACCCGGCTAATTTTTCTATTTTTAGTGGAGATATGATTTCACTATGCTGGCCAGGCTGGTCTTGAACTCCCGACCTCAGGTGATCTGCCCACCTCAGCCTCCCAAAGTGCTGGGATTACAGGCGTGAGCCACTGTGCCCGCCAAGCAGTGTACTTTTTATGACAAACTATATAGTTTTTGTGTTTTTAAGTACACAAATGATTTATGCTATCACTTTTGTTATTAAAAAAATTAAAAAAGTCATCGAATCATAGAGGATAAAAAAAAAACCTACAAAATAGCGAAGCACTCGGAGACCAGTGCCGCATTTCTGTCCCTCTCTAAGAAGTTTAGGGGATGCCACACCCTCTTCTGGGTATTCCCACACATAAAGATGCAGATAATATAGAGAATTGTCTGGGAGGGGTGTAAACATGACTGGTGTCCTGCCTGCTTAGCACATCCATCTGCAGCTTGGTTTTCTCTCCCTACATCATGTCTCAAAGATCATGCCGGTCCCTGCAAACCTCCCTCTCTGTTGTTAACCCTGCAGTGTGTCCCATAGAAGGGATGGACAGGCTTTATCCAGCCATTCCTCTACTGGCGGAATGCTCAAGCAATGTAGTAGCTAAAGCATCCTTGGACATGCTTCTTTGAACATGTAAGCAATAATTTCTCTAGGGTAGCTACTGAGGACAACTGATGGGCCAAAGGACATGGTTTGTTTGTTTGTTTGTTTGTTTGTTTTAGATGGAGTCTCACTCTGTCTCCCTGGCTGGAGTGCAGTGGCTCATACTCGGCTCACTGCAATCTCCACTTCCTGGGTTCAAGTGATTCTCCTACCTCAGCCTCCCGAGTAGTTGGAATTACAGGTGCGCACCACCACGCCCAGCTAATTTTTGTGTTTTTAGTAGAGACAGGGTTTCACCATGTTGATCAGGCTGGTCTCAAACTCCTGACCTCATGATCCACCCGCCTTGGCCTCCTAAAATGCTGGGATTACAGGCATGAGCCACCGTGCCCAGCCACCAGGACATGCACTTTTAAATTTAGATAAATACTACCTCATCCTCCAAAAACACTGTATGGATTTATCTTCTCATCTGTCATGTATGAAAGTGCACATTTCCCCATGTCTCCCCCAACACTGGGTGTTATTTCAGTCTTTTTCATTTTGCTAATATTAGATGAATGAAAGATACGCTTTTCTTTTTCCTTTTTTTTTTTTTTCTGAGACAGAGTCTCACTCTGTCACCCAGGCTGTAGTGCAGTGGCACCATCTTGGCTTACCACAACCTCCGCCTCCTGGGCTCCAGCAATCCTCCTGCCTCAGCCTCCCAAGAAGCTGGGATTTCAGGCGCCTGCCACCACGCCCAGCTAATTTTTGTTTTTTTTTTTTTTTAGTAGAGACAGTTTCTCCATGTTCGCCAGGCTGGTCTCGAACTCCTGACCTCAGGGGATCCGCCTGCCTCGGCCTCCCAAAGTGCTGGGATTACAGGGGTGAGCCACCACACCTGGCAAAGATATGCTTTTCTAACAGGCATATTACATTGCCAAAAAATAGCTTCTGGGCAGTTTTAGGTAGTGTGTGCCAGTGCCACTGGTCCCCAACTTTTTCCCCCACTGTAGTGGGCAGGAAGTCTTGTGCTCCTTCCCATTGCCCCTCAGCTGGTACCTGCTGCTGTTCCTAGGTTTTGGGAACTCGGCACCTTCAAAGGAGGCAAGCACCGAGGCAGGGCGGGCAGCATTGCTGGAGCGGGCGCTGCAGGACCTGGAGGTACAGAATGCCGTGTTGGTGAGCCCCTCGCTGAGTGGCCACTATGCCCTGCCCTTCCTGATGCGAGGCCACCACCAGCTACATGGATTCGTGCCCATTGCACCCACCTCCACCCAGAACTACACCCAGGAACAATTCTGGGCTGTGAAGGTACTGGGAGAAGGATCTCAAAGGTCCTGGCGCCCTGTTTCTGGCTTGGGGGGGTTCAAGACTCAAGTCTTACTTGGCAGGACATGGCCTTATCCCTGATCTTGGAAGGAAGAGTTGGATGGTGTTGGGGAAGGCTTCCTAGGAAGTGGCTTGGGGGTCAGAAACTCATCAGGCCCCAAGATCACAGCCCCCTGCCTTGCCCTGCAGACTCCAACCCTTATCCTGTATGGAGAGCTGGACCACATCCTGGCTCGAGAGTCACTGCGGCAGCTCCGCCACCTGCCCAACCACTCTGTGGTGAAGCTACGCAATGCGGGCCATGCCTGCTACCTCCACAAGCCGCAAGACTTCCACCTTGTCCTGCTTGCCTTCCTTGACCATCTACCTTGAACTAACCCACTCCCAGGTCCCGACCTGGCCTGAGCTTGGACAGTCTGGACCACCACCCTCCCCTGACCAGGGAGACAACCTCTGGGATTGGAGGCCAGAGGCCAGAGGGTCAGACCCAGCCAGGACTTCTCATTTCATCTCACAGACACAATAAAAAAGCATATTTGTCCTGCCTGGGAAGTGACAGGTTCCATTTCCTGGTGTGCTGTGGGAGAGATGGGAGTGGGAGGCAAGTCTGGGACTACTTTGGGCCTGGGAGCTGGAGGGGATGCTCCAGCAGTCTGGGAAGGCTAAGAGTGCGCCACTTCCTAAGTGCCTGGCCTCACCACTCTGTGCCTGAGTTTCCTCATCTGTAAAACAGGTATGATGGCAACGCCTAGGTTGGAGGGTGGTTACAGGACTGAATGAGTCTGGATAACTGAGTACTCAGCCACATAAGGCTGGGGAATTGCTGGTGGGAGGCGGGGTGTATTACTGCTGCTGCATGACCACTGGGATTGGTGGGAAATCCAGGGTCTGGACAGCCAAGCTGAGGGAGTCAGGAACCTAGAGGGTGTGGGGAATGTGATTTAAGAATTAGCCAGCACCGGGCGCGGTGGCTCAAGGCCGGGCATGGTGGCTCAAGCCTGTAATCCCAGCACTTTGGGAGGCCGAGACGGGCGGATCACGAGGTCAGGAGTTCGAGACCATCCTGGCTAACACGGTGAAACCCCGTCTCTACTAAAAAATACAAAAAACTAGCCGGGCGAGGTGGAGGGCGCCTGTAGTCCCGGCTACTCGGGAGGCTGAGGCAGGAGAATGGCGTAAAAACCCGGGAGGCGGAGCTTGCAGTGAGCTGAGATCCGGCCACTGCACTCCAGCCTGGGCGATACAGCGAGACTCCGTCTCACAAAAAAAAAAAAAAAAAAAAAAGAATTAGCCAGTATTGCCGGGCGTGGTGGCTCACACCTGTAATCCCAGCACTTTGGGAGGCCGAGGCTGGCGGATCATGAGGTCATGAGATCGAGACCATCCTGGCTAACACAGTGAAACCCTGTCTCTACTAAAAAAATACAAAAAATTAGCCGGGCGTGGTGGCAGGTGCCTGTAGTCCCAGCTGCTCCGGAGGCTGAGGCAGGAGAATGATGTGAACCCGGAAGGCGGACCTTGCAGTGGGCTGAGATTGCGCCACCACACTCCAGCCTGGGCGACAGAGTGAGACTCCATCTCAAAAAAAAAAAAAAAAAAAAAAAAACAGAGCGACAGACACTCTGTCTCAAAAAAAAAAAAAAAAAAAAGAATTAGCCAGTATTGCCGGGCGTGGTGGCTCACACCTGTAATCCCAGCACTTTGGGAGCCGAGGCTGGCGGATCATGAGGCTGCGAGATCGAGACCATCCTGGCTAACACAGTGAAACCCTGTCTCTACTAAAAATACAAAAATTAGCCGGGCGTGGTGTGTGCCTGTAGTCCCAGCTGCTCCGGGAGGCTGAGGCAGGAGGAATGATGTGAACCCGAAGGCGGACTTTGCAGGCTGAGATTGCGCCACCACACTCCAGCCTGGGCAACAGAGTGAGACTTGATCTCAAAAAAAAAAAAAAAAAAAAAAAAAAACAGCCAGCATTGGCTGGGCACAGTGGCTCATGCCTGTAATCCCAGAACTTTGGGAGGCCGAGGCGGGTGGATCACAAGGTCAAGAGATCCAGACCATCCTGGCCAACATGGTGAATTCCTGTCTCTACTAAAAAAAAATACAAAACATTAGCCAGGCGTGGTGGCAGGTGCCTGTAGTCCCAGCTACTCTGGAGGCTGAGGCAGGAGAATGGTGTGAACCTGGAAGGCGGAGCTTGCAGTGAGCGGAGATCATGCCACTGCTCTCCACCTGGGCAACAGAGCGAGACTCTCTCAAAAAAAAAAAAAAATAGCCAGCACTGGACCCGGCGCAGTGGCTCATGCCTGTAATCGCAGCACTTTGGGAGGCTGAGGTGGGTGGACCACAAGGTCAAGAGATCGAGACCATCCCGGCTAAGGCTCACATGGTGAAAACCCATCTCTGCTAAAAATACAAAAAATTAGCCAGGCATAGTGGTGAGTGACAGTAGTCCCAGCTACTCGGGAGGCTGAGCCAGGAGAATGGTGTGAACTCGGGAGTTGGAGCTTGCAGTGAGCCAAGATCTCACCATTGCACTCCAGCCTGGGCGGCAGAGTGAGGCTCCATCTCAGAAAAAAAAAAAAAAAAAAAAAAATTAGCCAGCATTGGCTGGGCACAGTGACTCACATCTGTAATCCGAGCACCTTGGGAGGCCGAGGCAGGTAGATCACCTGAGGTCGGGAGTTCAAGACCACCCTGGCCAACATGACAAACCCTGTCTCTACCAAAAATACAAAAATTAGCCCAGCGTGGTGGCACACACCTGTAGTCCCAGCTACTCTGGAGGCTGAGGCAGGAGAATCACTTGAACCCAGGAGGCGGAGTTTGCAGTGAGCCAAGAACGAATCACTGCACTCCAGCCTGGGCAACAGGGTGAGATTCCATCTCAAAAAAAATAAATAGCTAAATAATTAGCCAGCATTGTTATGAGTTAAAGTCTATTTGCCCGCATGAATAAATAGGTAAATAATTAGCCAGCATTGTTATGAGTTAAAATCTAGTTGCCCACATGACAGAGTGAGACTGTATCAAAAAAATAACTAAATAAAGAATTAGCCAGCATTGTTATGAGTTAAAGTCCATTTGCCCTCATGTTATGTGAGAGCAGCCAAGACTTAAACCTCAGGAAAGGTGGGACAGAACCCCTCCCCCCAGCGTGCCTCCTTGGCCTAGAGATTTAAGTCTTTGTCCCTCACCCTTCCCCAAGCTGACTCAGCCCCTGGAGCAGAGGGCAGACCTGGCTGGGAGTACAAAGGGCAGCTGGGGCACAAGTGGGCAACTGCAGCTGTGGCCTGCAGGGGGTCAGTGGTACACCTGTGCCTGTTTAGCCTCCCGCTCTGGTGGCTGCAGAAGAGCCAGTTTCCTCACACTGTCATCCAGGGTCACAACTGCATCCACTCACAGTGACATCATCACACCCACCCACCATCTCACACTGTCCCATACACAGTCATACCCACTGATAGACTGCACACGCAGTGGCACGCTCACACCGTCACACGTGCTCTTGTCCATGCGTTTATTCCCATTTCTGGCACAGTGTCCGGAGTCGGCATGGCCAGGGGCAGAACCTCGCAGGAAGTGGAGCTCACAGTGTGGGCAGACAGATAATGACCAATAACTTCAGTACAAGCGCAGCTGAGGCGTTAGGGAGGACCTCCACGAGGGGCTGAGGCTTGCACAGGGGAGCTGTTGGAGACTTGCCGAGGAGCTTTTCAGCTCTGCATCTTCAGAGCCTCGGGGCGGACCCTTTTCCTCCCGCCCTATCCGGGGGCTGAAGGAGGAGGCGTTCCTAGGGAATGGGACCGTCCTGAGCTCCGGGGGCAGGAGTGGCAGGCCTGTGGTGTGGGGCGGGGAGGGCCGGTCAAGGCGGAGCCAGCCAGGAGCTCGCAGCTCACGGAGCGGCGCTGGCTGCGGCGGCCGCTGCCCGGAGGCGGGATCCTGATATAAGCCTTCAGTAATCCCGCTGAGGCCGGAACCAGAGGCGGGCGGGGACTTCCGCGCCGACGCGGCCGCCAGCGCTGGGACGGCCCTCACTGGCGGTCTTTGGTCTCCGCCCCGACATCCGGCCCCGAGCACATGGTGGGCGGACGGGGGCGGTCCTGAGCCTGCGACCTCGCAGGACCCTAAGTCAAGGCCACAGTCAGGGGCGGGCGCTGGGAGGCGAGTGTGAACTCAGCGACGGAGAGCGAGGTGGGGTCCCTGGGGAGGGATAGAGAGACGGGCTCCGTGGCTTGAAAGCTGGGCAATTGGGAGGCGTTGGGTTTTTTGCTGTTGTTGTTTGAGGGATGGGGGAGTACAAGTCTGGGTTCAAACCTCGCTGGGCTACTCTGAGCTGTCCTCGAACCTCTCTGAGCCTCTCGGCTTTCTCCTCTGTAAGTGGGCATTCTGAGCACAAACTTCTTGGGGCTCTTTTAGGGATTAAATAAGGAAATATGCTGGAAGCAGACAGCCCAGAGCCTGAAACAGAATGGGTGCTCCTTAATGGGAAATTCTACCCCTGTGGGAAATCCGGGAGCCGCGGTAGGGACGGGCTGTGTGCAGGAGCGCGAGGGGTCCAGGGGCTGGGAGGGATAGTTAGCCATTCACTTTGCCCCCAGCTCGCCACGCGCAGCGCCATGACCAGCAAGGGTCCCAAGGAGGAGCATCCATCAGTGACGCTCTTCCGCCAGTACCTGCGCATCCGCACCGTCCAGCCCAAGCCTGACTATGGTGAGAAGACGGTGCTTCCAGAGCCTGTGACCGGGCCTAACGGACGGGGACTGTGCTCTAAACCAGCCTCCAACACCTGTCACCCAGCTGAGCCCCCCTCTGCTGTCCCAAATGGCTACCCAACCCCTCCAGTCATTGCCCAAGTAAATAGACTGAGGCAGCCCCTCCAGGTTATGGAGGAATCCTTTCCCCAGACGCTCTGCTGCTGCCCAAGGTTACTCATAGCAGCTGGTTAAAGAAAAACTTCACCTCACTCCCCAGGGCAGGAGTGGTGGAGGAAGCCTCAGGCAGCCACGGGGGAAGGAGAAGCCCTCCAGAAGCCCACTGAGGCTGGACAAAGGCCACAGCCCTTAGGGAATCAAGCTTGGTGGTTAGGGCCTGGGAGGTGGCTCCTGCCTTTTATCCCAGCACTTCAGGAGGTTGAGGCTGGCAGATTACTTGGGCCCAGGAGTTCAAGACTGGCTTGGGCAACATGGCAAGACTCTGTCTCTACAGAAAAATACAAAAATTAGTCAGGAACGGTGGCGCACCTGTAGTCCCAGCTACTCCGGAGGTTGAGGTGGGAGGATCACTTGAGCCTGGGAAGTCGAGGTTGCAGTGGAGCCGAGATCGCACCGCTTCACTCCAGCCTTGGTGACAGAGTGAGATCCTGTCCCCCTCCCCCCGAAAAAAAAAAAAAAAAAAAAAGGAAGAAAGAAAGAAAGAAAAAAAAAAACTTGGTGACTGGGAATTCTGAACATGGGCCCAAATTCCTCCTTTGTGATTAATCAGCTCAGACATGGTGGGTGAATCTCTTCATGTCATCTTTCCCATATTTAAGGAAGATAACACCTTCCTCCAACACTGGACGTCCCCCTGGCCATCCAGAAAGGGTCACTGACTAGCCAAAAATATCTTCTTTCTTGGGGATGGAAATGCAAGTGTCTCTGAGGGATATGGAGTGTGTTGGGGAGGCAGCAGCCCATTTCTGGGTGTGCTCCCTTCTCCGGGCTGCCTGGGCTGGTGGGAAGCTGTGGGTAGGCAGAAGCAACCCCAGACACTCTGTGCCTCCAGGAGCTGCTGTGGCCTTCTTTGAGGAGAGAGCCCGCCAGCTGGGCCTGGGCTGTCAGAAAGTGGAGGTGAGCCTGGGGTCCTAAGCCGGGAAGGGAGGTGGGCCTGGGCACTTCCTCACCCTGCCCAGACCACCTCCCCTCCTGACCATCTCCAGGTGGCACCTGGCTATGTGGTGACCGTGTTGACTTGGCCAGGCACCAACCCTGCACTCTCCTCCATCTTGCTCAACTCCCACACGGATGTGGTGCCTGTCTTCAAGGTATGTAAGGGGCTGGGGCGGTGGGCATTGCAGACCTTGGGGACAGACATGATGCAGACCCCAGGATCCAGCCTCAGGGAGCGCATGGTCCTGGTCCCAGTCCTGGCACTGACTTTCAACATCCTTATGACATTACACCACTCAAGCAGCCTTCGTCCAGCAACAAGATCTGGGCCAGAGTGGGGTAGGGACTAGGGGGTGGGAAGCAGGAGACAGTGATGGGGGGTGGCAATCAGCTGCCTTCTTCAGCCCCCGTCTTTCCTCCCCCACCACTCCACCTGTCACTCCAACCCTATGGTGGGTTCCTAGGGAAGGGCCACTGTTGACCAGAGTGGATTAATGGCTAAATTGGAGGTTTGGGCCCCTCTTCCCATCCCTGCCCCCAGGAACATTGGAGTCACGACCCCTTTGAGGCCTTCAAAGATTCTGAGGGCTACATCTATGCCAGGGGTGCTCAAGACATGAAGTGCGTCAGCATCCAGTGAGTGTCCTCCATTCCCGCTCCTCCACAATGTCCCCACTGGTCTAGTGGATTGACCCAGGACCTGGAGGGGTGATTGGAGAAACTCAAGGCCAAGGGACACCTTGACTCCTTGGACAGGAATTACTGCCATGACCATTGCATCGATAGGGAGACGCAGCCCAGAGAGGAGCATGGACTTTCTGGAGTCCCTATCAGGGTGTGGCAGGGTAAAGTCCAGGGCACAGGACTCCAGCCTGCTGGCCCTGCCTGCCAGGCCAGCCTGAGCATCTGGTGGCTCCCCCAGCACCTGGCTTATGCCCCCTCAGGTACCTGGAGGCTGTGAGGAGGCTGAAGGTGGAGGGCCACCGGTTCCCCAGAACCATCCACATGACCTTTGTGCCTGGTAGGAGTGGTTCAGATACCTCTGGGAAAGGGGAGGGTGGGGGTGGGGCAGCCTCCTCATCTCATGGCCCTGCTGCTTTTACAGATGAGGAGGTTGGGGGTCACCAAGGCATGGAGCTGTTCGTGCAGCGGCCTGAGTTCCACGCCCTGAGGGCAGGATTTGCCCTGGATGAGGGTGAGCAGGTTGGCAAGCTGATGAGCAGCCAGGCAGGGAGTAGGAGGCTGCTAGTGGGGACTGGGCTGCTCCACCCTCTGAACCCCCTTTCCCTCCTCAGGCATAGCCAACCCCACTGATGCCTTCACTGTCTTTTATAGTGAGCGGAGTCCCTGGTGTAAGTATGAGCTTGGAGGAAGGGCTCACTCTACAGGTGGGAGGCTAGGCCAGAAAGGGCACGGTCCTATGAAGGGTTGCACAGCAAAAGTTGAGGCCTGAGAAGGCCTCGAACCCAGAGCCTCTGCCTCCCAGCTCTTTCCTATCTGAGCTTCTCTGAGGGCAAGCCCTGACTGGGCAGAAACAAGCTCTACCCTATGGGCCCTGAGCGGGGACAGGACCCTGCCAGAGGAGCCTGGAATGAGGGGAAGACCTGGGTCCACCCCAGGGCTGATTGTGTCTCCAGCCCCTCATGCTGAAGACACTCCCTTCCCCCTACACCTCCCCAGGGGTGCGGGTCACCAGCACTGGGAGGCCAGGCCATGGCTCGCTCTTCATCGAGGACACAGCAGCAGAGAAGCTGGTACGTGGCACCCCAGGAGGGAGTCTGAGAGTTCAAGAGGCTCCATCCTGAGACCACTGTCCCATTTAACCTCATATTCTTGTAGCACAAGGTTGTGAGCTCCATCCTGGCATTCCGGGAGAAGGAATGGCAGAGGTGAGGCAGCCTGGGAAGCGGTGGGGTGGCTCTGGGAGGCGGTACCACAGAGGATAGAGTCTGAGCCACCTCTTTTATCTGTTGCTGCTGCTTCCCTGTCCCCACACCACAGGCTGCAGTCAAACCCCCACCTGAAAGAGGGGGCTGTGACGTCCGTGAACCTGACTAAGCTAGAGGGTGGCGTGGCCTATAACGTGGTACCTGCCACCATGAGCGCCAGCTTTGACTTCCGTGTGGCACCGGATGTGGACTTCAAGGTGCCACCTCCACCTGGGTTTGGAGGAAGGATCCTGGGTCCTCAGTCTTGTCCTAGAGGCCTCTGGAAAGCCTGAGGGATCAGCTCATCTCCCTTCTCTTAGGCTTTTGAGGAGCAGCTGCAGAGCTGGTGCCAGGCAGCTGGCGAGGGGGTCACCTTAGAGTTTGCTCAGGTATGGACTTGGGACATGTGATGGGAGAGTGTGGGAGCTGGGGGAGACCCAAGTGTGCAACAGTGGAGTGTGTGCTTGGTGTGTCTGCATATGTCTGGGCATTTCTTTATCTGTTATAGACACATTTTATTCCAACAAGCATTAGTTTGTAGATGCTACTGTGGGTGCTGGGGAATGCTGTGGGGAATAAAATTAGGCACAGTTCATGCCCCTGTATGGTGAAACAGGGAAATATAAATCAAACATTTATATGATATTACTTTTTTCTGAGAGAGTCTCACTCCGTCACCCAGGCTGCAGTGCAGTGGCACAATCTGGGCTCACCTCCGCCTCCCGGGTTCAAGCAATTCTCATACCTCAGCCTTTAGAGTAACTGAGATTACAGGCACCTGCCACCACGCCCAGCTAATTTTTGCATTTTTAGTAGAGACAGGGTTTCACCGTGTTGGCCAGGCTTGTCTGGAACTCCTGGCCTCCAGTGGTCCACCCACCTTGGCCTCGCAAAGTACTGGGATTACAGGCATGAGCCACTGTGCCCAGCCGTACTTCTATATAATACATGTGGTACAGAAAAGGGTGGCCCCTTGCACTCTGAAAACCTCTAACTGGAGTATCCAACTAGTCTGAGGTCTGGGGGAGCCATCTTGAGGAAGGGGCACTTGGGCTAGGATCTGAAGGATGGCCCAGGAGGTAAGTAGATGGAGGGTGGGAACATCCCAGACCTAGGACATTTGAGGGGCTGAAAGAGGATCTGTGGCCGGACTGGCCACCCAGATGTCTGGGTAAGTGAAGGAGTGTGGGTGGGGAGGTGTTCTGTGCCGGGCACAGTCCACTCTATGGGAAACAGGGCAACATGCCCAGGCCCATGTCCTGATCCTGCCATCCTTCCCGTCCCTCAGAAGTGGATGCACCCCCAAGTGACACCTACTGATGACTCAAACCCCTGGTGGGCAGCTTTTAGCCGGGTCTGCAAGGACATGTGAGCACACTGGCCAGCTCTCCTCACAGCCCAGCCCCCTGCTCCTCTCCTTCCTGCTGCCCCCTCCCTTCTCCTGCCTCTCTCCCACCTTCCCTTGCCCCTTCAATTCTTCCCTTTCTCCCTCTCCATTCATCAGGCTCTTTCTCCTATAGGAACCTCTCTCTGGAGCCTGAGATCATGCCTGCTGCCACTGACAGCCGTTTTATCCGTGCGGTGAGCCACTTGCATGGAGTGCCTGGGCAGTGGACTGGGCCTGAGGCTGCCTTTCCCTTAATGGCTCCTCCTTGCCCCTGCAGGTGGGGGTCCCAGCTCTAGGCTTCTCACCCTTGAACCGCACACCTGTGCTACTGCACGACCACGATGAACGGCTGCATGAGGCTGTGTTCCTCCGTGGGGTGGACATATATACACGCCTGCTGCCTGCCCTTGCCAGTGTGCCTGCCCTGCCCAGTGAGAGCTGAGCCCTGGAACTCCTCAACCTTTGCCCCTGGGGCTTCCATCCCAACCAGTGCCAAGGACCTCCTCTTCCCCCTTCCAAATAATAAAGTCTATGGACAGGGCTGTCTCTGAATTACTAACAGCAAGGACACTCGTGGAGCAAGAATTTTCCTTTCCTTGGGGACGTTACCATCTTCATTTCACAGATGAGGAAACAGCTTGGCTGTGAGCACTTCCCCACTACCCCACACTGCTCTGTGCGCCTTGATACAGCACACCCATTCAGTACCATCCAGCCATGTCTGTGCCTAGCAAGAAAGGGCCACAGTTCCTATTTGAGTGGCCACCATACTTAGTTCTGACCTGTCAGGGATTCCATTCCTATCGAAGGGGGATACTAAGGACCTCAGGAACCACTCCCATCTTCCTGGGTGTACATCTGGGATCCTAAGATAGGACCAGAATAGTACCAGCTGGGCCCCTGCCAGATGAGGGGCAGGCAGAGGGCCAACGGTGACTGCTGGCTCTTGTCAAAACCTGTACACCCTTGTATTGGCAGCAGGGGCCACAGAGGGGCAGGGGCCCTGGTAGACTAGGTCAGTTCATCTTAGGGGCCTCAGCACCCTGGATCTGTGTGTACAGAGGCCTAGGAAGTGGGTTTCCATGTCAGCCTTGCTAGGACCCCAGGCTTTCCCATGAGTAAACTAGTAAACTATGGCCCCAAGAGCAGAGCCTGATCTAGCCAGATCTGCTCTATCCTGTTCTGACTTCCCTGAGCATGGGGCAGGGGAGATGGGTGGGTTGGGGTGGTTGAATTTGTTTCTAGTTGTAGCCAGAAGAGAAGTCCAGAGCCTGGCTGTGGACTGCAGGCTTAGTACTAATAGAAATAACAATGACTCCTGCTCACAGTTGACAAGGAGCCAGGACTTAGACTGGCTTTTTTTTTTTTTTTTTTTTTTTTTTGAGGCGGAGTCTTGCTCTGTCGCCCAGGCTGGAGTGCAGTGGTGTGACCTCGGCTCACTGCAAGCTTCACCTCCTGGGTTCACGCCATTCTCCTGCCTCAGCCTCCTAAGTAGCTGGGACTAAGGCCCCCGCCACCACGCCCAGCTTACTTTTTGTATTTTTAGTAGAGATGGGGTTTCACATCCGCCTCCCGGGTTCAAGGGATTCTCCTGCCTCAGCCTCCCAAGTAGCTGGGACTACATGTCCACGCCACCACGCCTGGCTAATTTTTGTATTTTTAGTAGAGACAGGGTTTCACCAAGTTGAGCAGGATGTTTTCAATCTCTTGTCCTCAGGGGATCTGCCCGCCTCGGCCTCCCGAAGTGTTGCGTTTACAGGCGTGAGCCACTGTGCCCGGCCTAGACTGGCTTACTTTACATTGAACACGTACAGCAGTCTTGTGATGGATGCCAGGTCCCAGTAGCAATGCAGAAACAGGTTTCACTGGCCAGGTGCAGTGGCTCATGCCTGTAATCCTAACACTTTGGGAGGCTGAGGCGGGCAGACTGCCTGAGCTCAGGAGTTCAAGACCCAGCATGGGCAACATGGCAAAACCCCGTCTCTACTGAAAATACAAAAAAATTAGCCAGGTGTGGTGGCATGTGCCTATAGTCAGGAGGCTGATTCTAGAGAATCGCCTGAACCCAGGGGATGGAGGTTGCAGTGAGCCGAGATCTCGCCACTGCATTCCAGCCTGGACGACAGAGTGAGACTCTCAAAAGAATAAAGAAATGTGTTCCACTAACATAGTTTGCCCTAGACGACAGAGCTTGGAGGTGAATGAGTCAAGACTCAAGAACTGGACATTTGTGCTTCCTGAGTACAAGGCAGATTCCATGTAGAAGCTGGAGGCTGAAGGCAGCAGCTGGGTGTGATCTTAAGCCCAGTTGAAGCCCTGACCTGGCCTCCCCCTCAGACTGGCACTTGGTAAAGGGATCACTTTTTTCATGGCAGGAACACTTGGGACCTCTCTTTGGAAGTCATCAACTTGGTGGCGTGTCCGAACCAAACCACCTTCAGAACACAACCTGCTCCTGCTCCCTTTCAACCCCATGTCTACCTGACACGCCTTGGCAAGGGGCAGTTAGCCTCCCAGAGACTGCCAGGATTACAGTCAAGAGCTAGCAGCCCCAGCCCTGATTGGGCAACTGAAGCCTCCTAGGGCCCCACATGGACTGCCTAGGATCAAATGCTACCCCCACCCCTTCCCAGCTTCATTATCTTCAATATTTTCTCACCAGTGAAACAAAGATAATCATAATATCTACTTCGGAATTAGGGGATCACATGCCATGGGCTGCACCTGCTGCTGTAGCATAACAGCACCCCTTTATGAGTTTCTACACTGTCCAAGGCTGGTTTTGAGGATTAAGTGCAGCTGGGAAGTGCCCACCTGGTGCCTTCTGTAGGAACCCTCCACAAATGCTTACTACTTTACTACTTGCTTCACTGACTGCTGAGGATGAAGACCTCTATGTGAAGCAGCTGACTCAGGGGCACAGCAGGGTCAGAACCAGTCATGGGAGTAAAGCAGTGCCACCACCATCTGCCTTCCTGGGTCCCTAGCTGTTGGGGAACTAACATAGCCCAGAGCAGTGGATGCTGACCAGGTGCACAGAAAGAACCCAAGTCTGGGACACCTCAGGCCAGAGTGCAGAGCTGCTCAGCAGGGCCCCTTCCCCTCCCTCGGAGTACGCGTTAAGACCTCATGAGGATGTTTATGATTTCTCCCTTTGGGCCAGGCGCACTGGCTCATGCCTGTAATCCCAGCACTTTGGGAGGCTGAGGCAGGCGGATCATGAGGTCAGGAGATCGAGACCATCCTGGCTAACACGGTGAAACCCCATCTCTACTAAAAATACAAAAACAAAATTAGCTGGGTGTGGTGGCAGGTGCCTGTAGTCCCAGCTAGTTAGGAGGCTGAGGCAGGAGAATGGCGTGAACTGAGGAGGCGGAGCTTGCAGTGAGGTGAGATGGCGTCACTGCAGTCCAGCCTGGATGAGAGGAGACTGTCTCAAAATAAAAAGAGATTACTCCCTTTGCTCGGCAACTTACACAGTTCAGCAAGCAATGTGCCCGAGCTTCTCAAAAGCCCTCAATCATTTCTCATTCATTAGGTCCTCCTCTTGCACTACACGGCCCCATCTCCTGACTCCCACCCACCCCCCACCACCCAGACTTATGTCTTCTCCCACACCAACAGATGGAGCAACCAAACCCAGTCCCAGGATCATAGACAGAGGCTAACAAATCCTGCCTCAGGTTTATTTGTACAAATAGCACAGGAGGACCCCAGCCCCATGCAGATGGCAGCCCAGAGGTGGGGGTGGGGGGTCGCACCAGTCCTTCTGTCCTCAGGTTGGCAGAGATACCTACTCTGTAGCCTTTGTAGTGGCCTGGGCACCTTTGGGAGCCTGAGCTGGAATTGAAGCTGGAGCTGCAGCCTGGGCCTTGGTTTGATCCTTGGCCTTGGCCTTTGGCCGGCACAGCCGGAGCCCCTTGGCAATGCGAGCACGAGCACGCTTCCCAAGCTTGGGGTGGGCAATGTAGGCAAGTCGATCAAGCTTGCGGCTGACACCCTTTGGGATCTTGGGCTTAACCTCCTTGGGCTTTACGAGGGCCTTGACAGCCTCGGCACGTGCACTCATGGCCTTGGCATTGTTGGCCTGCATCTTCTTTAGGCCCTTCTTGTTGTGCTTCTTGGCAAAGCGCATGTTCCTCAGGAACTTGGGGTCCACCTGAAAAGCAAGAAAGGTACAGGTGGCAGCATGTGGGTCCCCAAGTCTCTCACTGATGCCTCTCTCCATAGGGGTACCCAGTATTCTAAAGACAGCATCAGGTCAACCTCAAATGTGGAAATACCCAACTTCTTGAAACTATTTCCAGAAAAAGGGTACCACCACCTCAGGGAGCCAATACTCCACCTGGGTAATGCTGTACAGACCTCCTTCAAGAACAAAATTACAAGCCGCTTTGCTGCCCTGTCTGCCAAGGTTGTGGGGTTTCAACTTCCTACAGCAAGGGTTCCACCAAGTTTTTTCCTGACATCCCCTCAGGGACACCCCCGCTCCCATCTTTAGAAGAAGGTGTCAATTAAATACCAAGTCTGGTCCAAAAGACTTATAGCCGAGGCAGAATATGGGGAAACCGAGGCACAGAGTTTGTGATTTTTTTTTTTTTTTTTTTGAGACGGAGTCTTGCTCAGACACCCAGGCTGGAGTGCGGTGGCGCGGATCTTGGCTCACTGCAAGCTCCGCCTCCCGGGTTCACGCAATTCTCCTGCCTCAGCCTCCCAAGTAGCTGGGACTACAGGCGCCCGCCACCACGCCCAGCTAATTTTTTGGTTATTTTTAGTAGAGACAGGGTTTCACCGAGTTAGCCAGGATGGTCTCGATCTCCTGACCTCGTGATCCGCCCATCTCAGCCTCCCAAAGTGCTGGGATTACAGGCGTGAGCCACCACGCCCAGCCAGAGTTTGTGATTTACTCCACAGAACAGAGAGCAAAAGGGGAGGAACAGACTGGGGACGTGCTCAGCTGTCCCCTAGACCCTCCAGCCTTCTTGGCTAATTCTTAGAACTCCCTGACACAGGAAGAGAAGCTGACCCCAAGTACAGCACTGGGTCAGATCGAGGTCATAAGGCTGGTCAGTGTGGGAATGTGCCCTGCACACACTCAGACAAGGCCACTCCTTACCCTAAGTGCCACTGCCAAGCAAGGGAGATGGCCAGGAGGCAGGTTACACCCTGACCAGAGGGTTACACTTCAGGCTGGGGAGGACCAAGGAAAGCTTTATTATGGGTCTGGTAGGGTAGAAAAAGGAATTGCAGGCTTTGGCTAGGCCAGTTAGGCTCTGCTCAGGCAGAAGCCAAAGTAAGAGAAAAACTACATGAAAAGCTTTGACTGTGCACCTGGAACCAAGAAAAGACACTTCCAGGTTGATTCAGTGCACTCACCCCCTTAAGAGATTCGTATCTTTGTGATCGGGGTTTCTTGATACCATTTCTGTGCCATTTTCGGGCTGTGGGAGAAAAAAAGGAATTAAGCCAACAAAGAACTTTCCTCTGATAAAGACCACCCAACATCACAGCTGGCAAGTCTGGGAGAACCAACGCTCCCTACAGCAGCTACGCTTGAGATATGGGAAA